TATTGTTTAATTTGTATAATATTTTACATGGTACGGCACCACCTTCCATGTTTATTGCTGAATATTGTTGAATTTACAGAATATTTTACCCTGTGCGGCAACACCATCCATATTAGTATGCAGCCATGTTTAAGTGAACATTTGTTTTGTTATAATATAATTTGTTAATCTTTTTTTAAGTTACATTGCGCATTAATATATACAAAATAAGTGAAACTATTTAATAAAATCAAAGTAATATTTGTTTTTGTTAAACAAAAATGAAAGAATAGTGACCATTTCATAAAGAAATAATGGGATAAAGTTAACAATTTATAACAACAAATAACTTATAAACTATAATATATATATATATAAAAGTTAAAATATTGGAAAAATATATTTCTCTCATCATTCCTACGAAGTTTCATGTCGAAATTCCTGGTTGTTAGCTTACAATATCAAGTGGGGCTGCATATCAAAGCTCAGCCAAATATTATAAGAAAACCGCATATAAAGAAGTCTTTAATAGTGCAATGCGTTGGCTCCTCAGCTCCGCGAACGCCTCCGTCATAATCGCGACTGCTTTGAAGTATAATGACGTCCAAGTAAAATAAAAAAATAAATATTCGAGTCATAGTGTTAATGATGTCTTTATGCAGTTGTACCTCGCATAGTTTTGTTGAAAATTTTTGATATCTGATGTTGTTGCAAGATGTGAAGCGTCACTCAACCTGTTCCATTAAAAAAAAATTCTCTGCAATATGGAGTGCTCTTAAATAAAAACAATGTAAAGAGTAAGTAGTAAATTAATCGATAATATATTACATTAATACCACAGCTTGTATAGGATTCTTATCCATATTTTTCACGGTTTTACGTGCTCTGCTAACTTGTACGGTGAAAACGATAAAAATTGCGCACTACTCAAAAATAAGAGTATTAAACAAAACGGATTATTCGTTCAATTGTGTTCTCCTTCATTTTGTATGTACTCAGAAGAGAAAGATAAACAAAAATATTTGCTTATAGTTAATGCCCGAAATCGTGTGAGTGTATTGGTTAATGGGTTCACCATTCTTTCTATGATATGGTTCACATAATAAACACACCAACGCTCATAAGATTAAGCTTCAAAACGGACACTGATAATTGCGCTTACTTTTACAGTCACTTACAATATTTTGCAGATTTTCAAAACGAATTTATGTCTGTATTGTTCTAATTATTTTTTTGTATGCTATATAAACCATGTAAATGATCTACAGTATGTCAATTATCTGAGTGCAAAATGAAAAAGAAAAATCAAACAAATTCATTTTTCCATTTGATTTTTATTAACTAAAACAATTTTCTTTAAGTTATTTTATTTTTTTTTTTTTTGAATAATATTAGTCTGAGTAATCTTAATATAAATAATGCACACAAATTCCAGCAAATATTTTTTGGTGTCAATTAATTGTTTGCATTTTGTAAACAATTATTGCAAATATGATTAAAACTGGGAAAATATAGCAGTATTGCTACTATTATTTGGTATGATAGCCACTTGCATTTATAACAGCTCGAAGATAACGAGGCATGGACTGAATAAGTTTGTTTAAGTCATAATTTTCAGGTATTTTGTTCCCCCCCTCCCCCCCACCACTTTGCCCACTCGCTTCTTTAAAATTTTTTTTCTCTCGACGCAGTATTCCACAGTCCTGTAAACGTTGGTAATAGAAAAGTTGAGCCGCTTCTCAATTTTAACGACTGACAACAACGGTTTCTTTCTAGCTATTTGTGAAATGTACTTGTGTATTTTTAAGACTTTTCGGATTGTCTTGTGAACTACTTTTTTGGGCAATCATTTTTAATATCTAACGCCAGTTTTCTCAGGGTCGTTTGAGGATTATCATTGATCTGCTTTAAAATTTTTGAATGATCGCGTCTCGAAAGTTTCGGTGGTCTATCTCCAGAGTGCTTATACTCCAACCTTTTTTTTCTGCAAGTTTAACAATATTATAAATCGTTCTAAGTTTGATGGAAAACATTTCCGCTAATTCGTTAGCCGATCTCCCTTTGTGGTACTTAATATAAACTAATTTAATGAGACTTTCATTAGTTCGCTTGCCGGGCATTGTTGAAAGAACTAAATCAACACGATCTGAACTGTCTAAAGCATTAATCGAGTTAAACGCCATAGAGCAACGCATAGCTATGAGGCAGGCGTTCTCTCGTTTTCGAATTTGTGGCACCGTTAAGCTATGTACATATTATATATTTTGAATTGTGTTTGGCATTTTGCAAAGAATTAATTGACAACGATATATTTTGCGAATTTTAAATTTGTTATAATATAACGTTTGGTTTTAATGTTTGTTATTTCTGCGAGTGATATTTGTTAAGTATACTTGGATTAACAATACCAAATTACAAAAAAGAGATTTATAAAATAAAATTCGAAAAATATTATTGTGATTTTTTCATTAATTAATTTATTGGAATAAAAATCTTAATAATATTTGTGTGAATGTATATATGTAGAGAAAGTTTTTGTCAAAGCTGATTTACTCCGGCAGCAGTGCTGTCGCTCATTCGTGTTCGGCTTGAACGGTGTTGCGTACTGGCCGCAACAAAAACTTCTCTTGTGTTTGTATAAATACATATGTTTCCTTTGTTTTGCTTAAGATTACTTTCATTACAAGCGTTCGTAGTGACATTTATCGGCAAATAGTTGTATAATTGAAGCCATGTATTGATGGCACGGTTGTATTCGGTGTGTGACTACCCAGTAATATAAGTCTCCAAGCGGACGTGTTCCTTGAAACGGACAACGGAATGCATTGCGCTTGTATTCCGTAAAAAGGTGTATCATCTTTTTCTTTAATGCGGCAAGAGGGAAAATTATCCCAGTGTACTTGGTGTGCCATGGTGGCGTGCGATATGCAGCACGGTCCCTTTGGGTAATAGGGTAACGCCAAATGATTGGACACCAATTCACACTCACAGGAGAATCCTGAAGACCGACGCGTAACTTGCGGCCTGGCTTGTAAGTGCGTGCCGGATAAGATGCGAGCAATCTTCGAAAGCGGAAACACCTTTTTTCTATATGCGGACGTGCGTTAATTTTTTTGTTTTTGCGGAAGAAAATATTATTAGTGATTTTTGTGTGTTAGTGTTTTTCCAGAAGAAGGCAGTCGAGTAAAGTCAGGGTAATTTTTGGTAGATCAGTGCCGGGACCGGAACTCGGACGGCTTCACCCGGAGGAGCACCGAAAATGGGTACACACATCCGACCGAGCAACCATAGGTATCATTGTGTTAATTTATTGTTTACGTACGTTTTTTGTCGTGCCGACAGTGTCCCTCCCCTTGTTACGTCCTCACCCATGCTTCTAGCATCCCGCACCCGGAGCCCAGTCATACAGGCGGGTTAAAGTTACCCCCGGCAGCACGGGAGTAGTGCGAGTGGGTTCGTAACCAGTTCGGTTGGACCACACCTCGGGTGCACCCCAAAAACATATTTTGTTTAATTGTTTTTTGTAGTTTGGTTTTTTTGTTTCGTTTTGTTGGGTGTTGTTTTCGTGTTAGGGTCTTTTGTTGTGCCTGTATAGGACAACGCGGAAGAAACATTAGGGTAATAGTTTTTAATTTTTTTAAATAAAAAAAAAATTTTTTGTACATCTATTTATTTTGCTTTTGTTGTTTTTGTTTTAAATCATTTTTTTTTTCAAATTTGTTTTTTTGCCATGGAGATTAATCGGTTGGCCCAAGCTGAGCTCGCGTACGTGATGGAGGAACGCGGACTTCCAATCGACACGGTCAAAGCCATGAGTGCGTCGCTAAGGGTTTCGCGTTTATTAGAAAAAAGAGGGTCGGTAGACCTCTTTCAGGATATCCCTTCGGTTTTGACGAGGATAAGACGGTGGTCAAGTTGAAACTGGAGGAAATTGAAAAGTTAACGGTGGCGGTGTCAAATGGAGGGAAGCCACTGTATGGAGCTAAAGCGTTGGCAAAAACCGAATAATGCCTTTCGCGGATAGGTCGAGTTGTCTCTCCATCTCGCCGAACTACAACAGGAGTCGGCAGCGAAGGAGCCGAAGAGGAAATTGGTACGATAGAGCGCTCGGGTGCCACTCGTTCGGACCCGATAGCACCCCCGCCCATGGGGATATGACGCGTTGTCGAAGAAACAGTTGAGTCTCAGAAGCTAGCGAGCTTGTGTCTACTTTGACGGCGAAAAAACGGGAATGCCGCTTTTCGCGTGTTTAGAACGGGTTCAGGAGTTGAGCGAGGCGCGCGGCTTGACCCCCTGCACAACTTTTCCGAGGCACGGTAGATCTGTTTGTAGCGAAAGCCCTATTATGGTTTTGTCCCTACTCCGAGTCATAAGGCAAAGGTTTGATTGGAACCTCGCCTTGCTTATGTCTCGCCTGGTGTAAAGGTCGCGGCGGTAGCGGAGCCGGACCATGTAAATAGTTTTAGGCTGGGGTGGAATATCCGGTGCTTCCATTGTAGGCTTTTCATTCACATTTCTGCATATTTTAAGAAGGGGATAAAGTGCTTCGGGTGCAGTAGACTTGGAGTCATGAAGAGCGATAAGGTTTCCAGGTTAGAGAATAGATCGGGAAACGGGAGATAGACCCCTGGGATAAGAATAAATGCTGGCTAAAGTAGATGTTAAGTTTGAAGAGGTTAGGCTAGCGTGTTTTCGTTGGTGAAAGACGGTCACGACGAACGCTCTTATTTGGATGTTAGGATTCATGGTTTTACCTTTAGGGCTTAATTGGATTCTGATGCGACTAGAACAGTAATAGGCAGGTCATATATATATAGCGCTTTGTAACCGTTAAAGCGATTTTCGACCGAGCTCCTCCTCCAATTTGTGGCTTACGTCTTGCTGATGGTTTTTTATAAGAAGCTTTATATGATATCAGAAATATACTTAGAGGTTTGACATTTCCTGCCGAGGGGCAACTGCGATTAGAAAATTAAGCTTAATTTTTTATTATATTGTATTAATTTTCTATAACTTTTTGGATGTTAGTACGACACCACGATTTGAACCGGAGCCTTCCGAATGGCAGAACGCAATGCTATCCACTGGACTACCACGGCCGTCAAGATAAGGCAGATAAGGTTGGCAAAAATTGAGTTCATATGGTATAAAGTTGATTTCTGTTTCTAAGAATTTTTTTTAGAGTCACTATCGCGAATGGAGATCATATCTCCGTGTAAGGCTCGGTTTTGTTGTCAATCGAGGTGAAGAGTATATCAATTCTCCTGGAATGCCTGGTGGTTCCAGAGTTACCTCAGGCTCGATTCTTGGGCCAAGGTGGTATTATACCGGATATATTGAGAATAAGGTGGTCGTTTTCTTGGCCGGAACCAGAACCGTTGGTGGCAATATTGGACCACTCCGAGATAGGCTGTAAGGAGTCTGGGGCATTAGGTCAGTTAGTAGCAGGGTCGTTCCAGGCTATGCCGGAAGTGCTAGGCCGGACCCATTTAGTTGGCCATAAGATCAGGTAAAGGCAGGAGTTGAACCTGTGACACAGCGCTATTACCCTGTGTCTCCCGTCATACAGTCGTGTATGGACGAGGAGATTAAGGATATGCTCGACAAACGGGTGGTAGAGAAATGCGCCTGCAAAAATTAAGATTAAGAAAAAGGACAGTATATATAAATTTAGTGTAGACTACAGAGTTTTGAATAAATGTACCGAAAAAGATAACTACTCTCTTCCATATTTGTCGGCACATTAGATAAGGTAAGGGATGCCAAGTTCTTGTTCGGTCTGGAAATCAAGTCTGCTTATTGTCTAATTTCGGTGAAGGAACAATCGAGGTCTTTTGCAGCATTCACGATACCAGGTAGAGGGCTATTTCAGAATAAGAGGATGCCATACGGTTTGCATAATGTAACAGCAACCTGGCAAAGATTTATAGATTCGGTCATAGTGCAATTTTAGTGACACTGTCGGCACGACAAAGCGCAAGCAAACAACAAATACACGAAATGATACTTATGGGTTGGTCGGTCGGGTGTGCGTCTCGACTTCGGTGCTGCTCCGGATGATGCCGACGCCAAACTCTGGTTCCGACACTGGAAATTAAAAAAAAAACCTATTCTGCACTGGGCATCGACTGCCGTTAAACAAACCCCGAATTGCTTAAAACTTTAACTACTTGCCTCGACCGGCAATCCACTTTTTTTTTTTTTTTTTTTTTTTTTTTTTTTTTTTTTTTTTTGAATACAAATCAATTCGCACGTCTGCGTAAATAGAAGTTCGCACTATTGTAGATGGCAAGAATCTGAATCCGGCACGCACTTACGAGCAAGGCCGCAAGCTACACGTTGGCCTTCAAAATTCTCCTGTGAATGTGTTTATTGGTGCCCAATCATTTGGCGCCGCCCCCATTACCCAAAGGGATCGGGTTGTATAGCGCACGCCACCATGGCACACCAACTACACTGGGATAATTTTTCCCCTCGCCGCATTACAGAAAAAGGCGACACCCCTTTTTACGGAATTCCCTCGCAAAACATTCCGTTGCCCTAATATTTGTTAGTGGAGGAACCGTTTTGGAGACTTATACCACTGGGTAGGCACATATCAAATGTAACCGTGCCATCAATCCATGGCTTCAAATAATGCAACTGTTTGCCGACAGATGTCACTGTCAACGCCTGGAGTTAAAGGAAGCTTAGGCAAAACAAAGGAAATGAACTTAAAAACACAGCAGAAGTTTTTTTTGCGGCCAGTACGCGACAGGTTGAATAAGTTGAAGGATCCGTGTGGTAGGTTAGCGAGAAGGGCTTTGAACTTCCAGCAATATGATTCTGATATAGTGCATCGGAAAGGCAAGGAACATGTGGTTCGGGATAACATATCCGGTGTGCCAGTTATTGCTGAGGCGACTACTACCGACCCTTGGTTAGCAACGATAAACGAGAAAAAACCTTTGTCGTATCAAGCTTCTGTTTATGGTGATTCTCCAGAGTGAAAACGATAGGGCGTGATGGTAAAAATGAAATTATGAAACAGACAATCCGTTATCAGGCCACATGGGTGTGAAGTCGGACCATGCAAAATATTTTAGCGTACAAAACCTGTCAACATGTAAATCCTGGGAATTCACAGCTATCTGAGGGTATGATAGTGAGGACTAAACCAGTCGAGTCTTGGGATATGTTTTGCGTGGATCTATTCCTATTCCCTTTGCGTACTGTCACGGCAAAAAGCTTAAGCAACAATTGGAGGACACTGTATTTTTAAGCTTGGAGTTGTGTGCGACACTGTGCATCAATGTAAGAGTCGAGAGTTCCGGGGCCTCTGTGGTGGCTATGACGTCCAACTCCGGTACACCGAAGACTACAACAACAGGTAACATTAGTCTAAGTTCACCAACGCAGCAACACCTTGCAGCTGGATTATATCTTCTAAGCCGGGCCGGGCCGCAAGGATCGCGAACGAGACCATGGTGGGGGCTTAGCGTTCGTCCTGCACAACACCGTGCAGTATCGTCTTATCGACGGCGATATCGACCGCAGGGATACTAAGCTAGAATGTCAGGGCATAGCTATCCGGTCAGGCGATGTCGAGCTCGAAATTTTCAATATATACATTCCTCCAGTTACAAGTTGCCCAGCAGGATACACCCCTGATATAGGTGCGCTACTCAGGGGCGAAAACCGTTTGGTTTTGGGCGACTTTAACGCGCATCACGATCTTTGGCATTCTAGCCTGTCAAATGACCGTAGAGGAATGGAGCTGGCAGAACAGATATATGATTCGACATTCTGCACAATGAACGACAACACCTCCACTAGAGTTATGGGTAATTGTCATAGCTCGCCAGATATAACAACTGCGAGTGCTGGTCTGATAAACAGTATAGCCTGGCGACCTATACTGACATTAGCATCGGACCACTTGCCCATACAAATTTCGATTGGCAGGCCTCCAGACTTTGTTTTTGCGGACCACCGGACATTTGTTAACTTTAAAAAAGATAACTGGCCCGGATTCACGGAATTCACTGAGAACGCATTTAGTGCTCTTCCCACTCCGTTAGACGTCACCACTGGTGAACGTTTATTCCGCAGGGTCGTCGTGAGTGCTGTCGCCCGCTTCATCCCGGCAGGCCAAATTGCGGAAATCCGCCCAAATTCTCCGACAGAAGCAGCGGTATTAGCATCCAGGCGCGACACCCTCCGAAGCTCCAATCCGTGAATCCACTAATCATGGATTTAAACGCGGATATTCGAAGAGTACTCAACAATCATAAGCGGAAAAAGTGGGAGGCATGCCTAAGGACCTGCAAACTCTCCTCTGTGACAACCAAGCTCTGGGCTACAGCCAAGTCGCTGTTCGTCGGACCCGAAGAGGTGCGCGAACTATTTTAGCCGACTTTTCACACTGCATCCCTCGGTAGATAAAGCGAAGCGACGTGTAACCCGCCGTATGCGCAAACTGCCAAGCACCAGCGCAGTGCTTGATTTCTCCAGGGAGGAGGCTCAGGGGGTCATCGAGAAGGCGAAACCCTCCAAAACCATCGGCCCGAAGGAATAAGCATGCAGATTCTGAAACACCTACGACCAGCGGGAGCAGAATTTCTCACGAGGTTCCTCAATTTGCCTCTGACCACCCTAAAGATGCCCGATGTGTGAAAAATGGGTATCGTGGTCCCGCTACTCAAACAAGCAGTACAATATCAGGCGTCGAGATATACAGTTTATGCCTGGAGAGCTAGTTTGGAGAAAGAATTTAATGCTGTTGCATGGAGCGAATTTTCATGCAGCGAAGTTAGCTCCAATATAGGGCCGTTTATTGTTTGGAAGAGAGTGAACCGTGGACATTCACACTGGCCGTTCAGGACTTGAGGCAATATAAGGATTAATAGGATAAAGTAGGAGATTTCCGTTCCAAGACCAAAAGGAAGATTTCCTCCTTTTCGTTAAGGAAAGTGTGGAGTTGTCGCGTACTGGTCGCAATAAAAACTTATTTTACGTTTGCATATATATATTTCCTTTGTTTTGCCTAAGATTCCTTTCTTTCCAAGCGTTGGCAGTGTCATCTTTCGGTAAATAGTTGCATTATTCTAAACCATGGATTGATGGCACGGTTGCATTCGGTGTGTGTCTACTCAGTAGTAAAAGACTCCAAAAGGAGGTGTTCCCCAAAACGGTTTCTCCACTAACAAATATTAAGGCAACAGAATGGATTGCGCGAGTATTCAGTGAAAAGGCGTGTCATCATTTTCTTTAATGCGGCAATGGGCCATGGTGGCGTGCGCTATACAACCCGATCCCTTTGGGTAATGGGGGCGGCGTCAAATGATTGGGCACAAATAAACACATTCACAGGAGAATTTTGAAGGCCGACGCGTAACTTGCGGCCTGGCTCGTAAGTGCTTGCCAGATCAGATTCGAGCAATCTTCGAAAGTCGAAACACATTTTTTTATGCGGACTTGCGTATAAATTTTGTTTTTTTTTTTGCGAAAGAAAATATTATTAGTGATTTTTGTGTGATAGTGTTTTGCCATAAGAAAGCAGACGAGTAAATATATAGAGTCGAGGCTCGTTGAAAATTGTGAGGACGGGGTAGTTTTTGGTGGATAAGTGGCGGGACCGGAACTCGGACGGCTGCATCCGCAGGAGCACCGAAGGTGAATACACACACCCATACCTTGTGCTGACAGTGTCCCTCCAGTCCGGTGTCCCTCGTTACGTCCTTACCCATCCTTCTAGCATCCCGCACCCAGAGCCCAGTCATACAGGCGGGTTGAAGTCACCCCCGGCAGCACGGAAGTATTGCGAGCTGGTTCGTAACCAGTTTGGTTGGACCACACCTCGGGTGCACCCCAAAAACATATTTTATTTAATTGTTATTTGTATTTTGCCTTTGCTCTTAAATTGTTGTTTTGAGCGATTTTCAGTTGCTTAAGTTAGCGTCGAACATTTCATTTGGTTTGTTTTTGCCCATAGTTTTGTTAGTGTGCGTATCTACCGACCCACGCCGTCTTCACAAAGCTGGCCGGTCGCTTTGTTAGTTTTTGTAGAAGTGGATGTGACAACGGCACTGCTGCGCTTTTTTACGTCAATTTTGTTTTCTTTTGGTATCAATGCTGTCGCTCTGCTATGTGCTGTTTGTTCGACAAGACTGACGAAAATGCGCAAGTAAACGAAGAGAGAAGACGCGCACATTTACAAATGTAAACATTTCGGCCTTAAGAAAGTTTGAAAAAATTGTTCTACGAGCTGATGTCATGCATTTCTGACATCCCTCCAAGAACGGGCTTCTGAGTACATACGAACTGAAAGATAATGCAGTTGACCGGATTATCCGATATTCTTTGTTCTTATTTTCGAGTAGAACGCCATTACTTTCGTTTTTACCGCAGTAAATAGAAGTGAACAGTACATGATAAGGATCCTGTACAAGCTATGGTAATAATATATTTTGAATTAATGAAGTACCTAATTTTACATTGCTTTGTTGCATTTCTTTATTTAAGGGAGCTGCATATATTGTAGTACGGGAAATTCTGTTAGTGGATTAGTTTGACTGAAATAGACGCTTCTCGCTTTGCAGCAACAGCAGACTTAAAAATATTCAATAAAACTGTGCGACGTACAACTGCATTTGGATATTAATAACATTCTGATTCGAATATTAATTTTTTTAATTTTACTTAGACATCTTTATATAAAGGACCTTCGACTTAGACAGAGCCGTTCGTAGAGCTGTGGAGCTGCATCACCAACGCATGGCGCTAGTAAAGTCTTTTTTGCGGTCTTGCCTATAATGCTTTTAAATAATTTTTGAAAACGATTGTTATTTCTCTTGTATGCTACAATATATAAACATGTACATTATTTATGTAAAACATTAATATAAAGACGGAATCTTAATAATGTTTGTATGTATAATATATATGCGAGGATGATCTTGTCAAAGCTGATTTC